ATCATCAATCGAGAATATGATAAAGAGTATTGAATAGAACGGGTTCTCATACTATTATAATAAACCAAAAGAAGTTTATTTTAGTGTATACAAAAATTATTTTTATATAATAATATTCATTGTGAAATTTCATCTAATTTCTGTTTAACTTAAAAATGTCAGATCTAATATTAAAATGGAATCTTGAATGTTCACTCGATTCCTATTTGATTGCATTCGATTTTTCAATCCGCTATTTACTTAGATTAACATTCGATTAATTAGAATTCTATATGCAATACTGACATACATGCTACTTTATTAGATTTTATCGCTATACTTAAATTACTTGCATGTCTTTTACAATGAAAAAGAAAATATTTGTTTTCTTTATATTATTTTATTTTCTCGTTACCAATTAATATCAAATTTAACTGGAAAATGATCACTAATATCAAGTGCTTGAGCCAATGTCATACCAAAGCGTTGTTGCAAGTTTACGGTTGTATTACTTCTTGGTACAATAGCTCTAACAAATTTGTCACCATTAACAAGAATACGATCATAGGTACATGTTTGTCGTGTATTTGTTTTAACTTCATTATTTATCATCCATACAAAATCAGCATAATCAACAGAACTAAAAACAAATTTTCAAATAGAAAAAAACAATTTAGATATATTTTTTATATTGATATCAACTAACCGAAGTGATTGTTGACGTGTGAGTGAAATATATGAACAATCTGCATTTAAGTCACCAATAATTAAAATAGGATGATTTGTTTTTAAACTTGGTTTATTACTAGATGTTGCACCAATTACATTTTGTTCTAAAGCTTGAGCTAATGATATTGATGTTTCACTAAAATATTGAGAATTATTAATAATAAAATCTTCTATAACATAACGCATATCAAGTAATTCTTGATAAGCAGCAGTAGGTTTTAAATGAATATTCATAATAGTAAAATATTTAACACCTGATGTACTTCTTTTAGTCACTTCGAATGTGCCAATAAAACTAAAAAACAAAACGAAAGAATATGTAAAAGAAAAGTAAAGACTATTGTGTCATTATGTTACGGTGGTCGTTCAAAACGATCTTCAGTATCCTGATAAAGATAAGAATTAATAAGTTTAACACCTGATGTTGATTCACGATTCAAAAATATATATTGTTCTTTTGTTGCTGACCGTCCAACACGTGCACTTAATGCCATAGTATATGGCTTTGATCGTGATTTTCGGTTTAAAGCGTCATGTAAAAC